TCTTAGGTCACCAAAACCAACCTAAAAATATTCAGCGTTAGCTAACACATACCATACACAGATTAAATTACTATTGACATACTGCCTGCCTCTGAAAACAAGGAAGCAGGTAGAATCAGGCTCCCCTGCCCTGCTCCCCTCTGAGGGTGGAGGTCATCTGAAAGCTCCAGACCAGTTCCTGGGGAATCATAGCCACAAATTTTCAGAGGCAGAGGGAAGACCATAAGGGCATGTAACATTTCTCTTCCTGACACAGAACCTCAGAGAGAAATGCAGGAAACCTATAACATGAAGATGAGGCCAATCCATCTAGCCTCTATATTAGCCCCAGGCAAATCAAACTTGTTGATTCACAGGAAGGGAATGGTGGGTCCCTCTAGCTGCTCAAGAAAATGAAACCCCAGAGTTTCCACATCCACTCTCAGTGCTCTGTGGCGTTGATGAGCCTTGTGAGGTTCCCTTTCTGCCTTTCCCCATTATTCTGGAAGGCTATCAAGCTACAAAAATCAGAATTTAGAAGGGGAAAAAGAAAACAGACTGCCTCAAAGTTCACATCCTGTGAAAGCTAAACAATGCTGGAATTGGACCAAGTCAGGCACGTCACTTGAGCATGTATGGACAAAGGGTTCAGATGTGGTCCATTACCAACAGTGTTTATAAAGTATATTCTATTTAATGCATAAAAACTCCCTGGTCCCTTGCTAAAATGAAACTTTAGAAAGCCCTCCCCCATCTCAACATCTTGCCAATGATTGTTTCAGGGATTTTTCAAAAATTATCCATGCCTCACTTCCCTTCTCAACTTTCATTCCCTACCAGAATCTCAGGTCTTTGCAAGAATTCTGTGTTCTCCAAAATCACAAAAATTGCTTCAGCAGTTTTTCCAATCATGGTCCAACCTGCCTCTCAGTACCACAGAAATTCTTTGCAAAGATGTTGCTTTTCCCTTGTCTGGAACAAATTCCTCCACAGATGGACCATCCAATGTCTAAGAATAACTCTTTTAACTATCAATAGAGACAAAGAGATTCAGTTGCACTGTTCCCGTGGGATTCCTTTGAGTTTGAACACATCTGTTAAGATGCATACATCAGAGCTTGAATGAAGTTTTTGTCTGATTGTATCTCTGAGAACTTGTGGAAGTTTCTGCCAAAATGATCTTATCTCTTGGCAATTGCAACACATATATAGATGCTTTCTGAAGGGCTCCTGAAGAAAGTGGCGTATACAGACCAAATCAGTTTAAATACAGCCAAGCCCTGATGACTTCCTTCCCTCTCATCAAAATCCTTAGAACATTTACCTGAGACAGTTCAGCCTTCAAACTAAGACCCTACCAACTTTATGCATTCTCTATCCATCAGCAAGGAAGTATGTGGAAAACTGCAAATAGCACCAATCTCATATGCTTTTTGCTTCTCTGTAACCTTTCCAGAACCTGTGCCTCCATGCTTGTCCTTGTAGCTTTTTGCACAAACACCTTTCTTCTGGGTAAGCACCTACATCTGTTTGTGACAACTGAGTAGCCACAGGTATAAGTCATTTGGAGCTCTATCAGCTCACTCTATGACTTAATTTCAAATGTATTCAAAGTGGTGCTTTTTGTCTGTCGAGCCCTACATGAAAATGGTTACCTCATGAAGCACCTCTTCTTCTAACTTGTTTCTCCAACTGCATTGCATGAGCTAGCATTTCCCAAGACTGAAAGAGACGGGAACTGGACACAATGCATCCTACGTTCTGGATTTTGCTTCAAGGATTCATCTGCGCTGGAAATACATCATAATATTCAAATCCAGACATCTAGGACCCAGTCCTACAAGGGTCAGAAGTAATGTAATTTCATGGGGAGTAAGTGGCACCAGAAACAGCATGCAGAATGTACTACACTATAGAATTAAGCCCTAAATTAAGTTGTGTGTCACATATGACTTTACCCAGATTTTTTTCTGCTAAGAACTCATTTCGGTAAGACTTGCATTCAGACTATTGCTTAGGCTTTCTTCACCTCTGCCTTTTACAGCTGAGGAGCAGATGGCTATCACAGAGTTTTTATTTCCTATGCTTGGAAAAAGTATTTCGATCTGAATCATTCCAAAATCACCCTCATTTTTTAAAGTAGATTGGCTTCTGAGTATTTTTCATAATAAATATGTGGTGGTGTTTTCTGCCAAGCACTAGTGACTGTGCATGCAAAATGGTCAGTGAAGATTTCAAACTGATTTGAATAGGTGGCCCATAAAATCCAAGTCTTTTTTCCAGATTCATGAATGAGGGCATAGGGAACCATCTGTACATCAGTGCATTTTTCCAAGAACTGATATACCCTACCATGCTGACTCTTTCTGGGTGTTTCTGATATTTTCAAAGAAAATTCCTCTCAAACTTCCTGTCTAATCTAGTCTTTAAGTATTTTTAAATTTTTTTGCCATCCACTAGAAAACTCCACCAGAATGAAGAATGTCCTCTGAAAATGAAATATAATCTGCCTAGTTGTGGCGGTATAGGCAATGTGGTGGTCTGGGCAAGGGAGAAGCAGCAATGTTGTAGTGTCTAGAAGGTAGAGAGAAGGACAGGAAGTGCTGCTGGCCCAAAGAAGTAAAGCATCACTGCAAGTGCAAAAGTTGAGAGGAAAAAAGAGGTGGCAATGTAGCTCTGAGAGGAGGGGAAGAGAAGGAGAAAGGAAGGGATTCTAGGGTGAGGGGAAAGAATCAGTCCAAAAGGCAGGGGAGGCAAGAGGTAAGGAGAAAGAGTTTGCAATGACAGGAAAGCCCATTTTTAAATGTTGGGAGCCACAAATATTAATCTCTTGGGTCAATGGATGTATTCCAGCACTAAGGATTGAGGCACTATTAAAAAACCCACCACATAACACGGGAGTTAGCCATAGTAAATATGCAGTAAATATCAATTATGCCTCGTTTTTAGTTCATGTGAGAAAATGGCATTGCTATTTTGCAAGGGCATGCCAAACACTAATTATATGCATATCACCCCAAACAAATACAGCCTGATAAAGCTTATAACCCATCATAAATAATGTGGGTTTTTTTTTCCATTAGTTTCAAAGCACATGGAATCAACTAATAGACATCAACACCACGAGAAGTCTTACCATTTCTTGATTTTTTGCTGGACTCTAACTGTATTTTGGTAGCTAAATTTCAACACTTCCTGAGATAGGATATAATATTAATGCTGAAATTATTATTAAACTTCTTTTCTGGAAAAAACAACTTCAGTGTGAAAGGAGCATCTAAACCTGGGTTTGCAGTTTATTCATACTGGTATTATGAATTTAGTAGGAATGGAAGGTGATTTGGGGACATTAAAAACTTTGGGGTCTAAAAGGCTCTGTTTGTCCTCAGAACAGGTAAAGCATGAAGAGCTGCAGGCTCCACATCCCCCTACTGCCCTCTGCCAATATTCCTCACCCCTGAACTTGGCCACCTCAGAAAGCAAAAGCAGGAGTTCATTCTCCAAGTTCCCTACAATCCCCGCTGGCCTCTGTCCTAAGGTTGCTTTCATGGGTTTCCATTTGTACTGTCAAAAAACATCAGTGTGAGGTTTCAAATCCCATTTACTAATGAACTCTTTCATCTCTGTGAATGGGATAAAGAGATTCTTTGTTTGAAAATAAAGATTATTTTTTCTTGTTGTTCTGCTCATTTTTTGCATCTTTTCACAAGCTTTTTGTTTTCAGAAAACATTACAAGACAAAACTGTACCCCAGTTTTAACAAAGAGCCTGACATCTCCAATTTGAAGGGAATTCTTGTATATACTAAATTGCATTGCTGCCTGCTGCTCAATTGTTTCACATCTCTTTCTTCTGCCCAGATCACCAGGTGAGATTTGGGAAAGTCTCCCCAATGTTTACCAGCTCTATTAAATTCAAGATCTCTAGAAGAAGCTCATAACGAATAAAGTCAGAAGCCAACAGGAATGAATTGCAGCTAAAGTGATTTTGATAGTGATGATCCCTATAACCCGTCTGCTTCCAAGCTTGGCCCTGAGGCAGGATTTTTAAATTAAAAAAAGAAAAGGATATACATACTTTTTAATCTGATTTTTTATTGTCATGCCCTGATTTTTTTTTATAGGCCTTTGCAAAGTCTGGTTGGCTTCTAAGCTCTTGAAACCTGGTGTCATCATCTTTCTTTCTTCTTTTTTCCCCCTTGTAAATTTTATAACATCCTAAAACCACTGCAGAAGAGGTAAACTATATTTTCTAAAACTAGTGAATGATGAGGTTCACATCACCCTGCACATTCTTGCCCAAGACACTTCCACGCAGGGACCATGGTGAAATGACAATGTTTTGAAGAGCTGACAGGGTAAGTTCTGACTTTCCAAAATCCAGTTTTAATCATTCCCTCCCTTATTTTTGTATTTTTTGGCAACATGGAAAAGAACGTCTTTTAAAAGGCCAGTTAACCCATGCTGAGTAATCTGAAAGTGAATGCACTCAAAACAAGGACCTTAAACTGGTACAACCACACAGGTCTACAAAGATTTTCCAGATTCTCACAGACTGATCCTCTCCGCAAAACACTCCCCCCTTTCTTCATGGAAATCCTTTACAATCCTGGGTGTCAGAGCCAGACACTTGTTTTCTCCCATTGCAATGCAGCACAGGCTGAAAATCCCCATCAGTAGATATGCTTGGGTAACAAGAAGCATGTGACTACCTGGAGAGGAATAACTACAGCTCTAGTTGGAAAGAGACACGCTTGAGGGGTCTTCCTTTTTTAATTCAGAAGAAGCAGCAACCTGACTCAACAACATGCTCTCGGCTTCCTCTAGCTGATTGCATTATCACAACCTTAGCACAAAATGCTCTGTTTCAGCGGTAATTCCCACAGAAAGGAAAAGGTAAGGCCTGATGAAGGCCTGCTCGTGCCATTATGGAAAGAGCACCCAACTGGAAAATCTGGTCCATAGCGAGGAGCGTGTTTTCAAGAACCCCAGAGCAACCCAGCAGCACATTGGTGTACTCACAATCAGATGACCCTGTGTGTGCGTGCAGGTTTGTTGGTGAATGTGGTGAGTGGACGAGGGCCGGGCTCAGAGACGGAACAGCTTCAAGGTTCAGGCAGGGAAGGCCCGGCTTGGCGCTGCATGCACCCGTCTGAGTAATCTCATTCTCCTCAGACGCCTTCTGGTTTTCAGCTGTCTTGGGTTTCTTCCTGAAAATAAACAAAGAGACCTTTGAAGGGATTGACTGCATATTTGGGGAAAAGGCATTTTTAGAATCTGTTAAAGATAACTTTCTTCCCCCCCCTTCTCTCCTCTCTTTTCCCTTACAGGGAAGGAGGCAGAGAAGACTTTCCTCCATGCTTCTTGTTTAGAAACAAGCTGCTCCTTGTTTTGACTCTGATGCAATGGCCCTGAGACTGTGTTACAGCAAATAGGCCAAGCACGAAGCTCCTCATTCTGCCCCTACTGATGACATATAAAACGAAACTCGTCCCAGTGGTTTAGACAGTCAGAGCTCCGTTTGACAAATATTAACCAAGGCTGTAGCATTCTGAATAGAGAGTTATACAGAAATGTAATAGAATTGTCTGAAAAGCAAACAAATATGCAAGTTTCCAGTTCTAAATGAATCAATGCAGGGACTCGTTTTGTAGGG